TCCTGGAGCCTTGTTTTTTGCCAATATCTTCAGTGCAGCTTGGACTTTTTCCTTCAATGTCATCATTTGCTTACTTGCTATCTCCTGAAATGGCTGAATATCAACTTTTTTTTTTTTTTGTACAAAGGCCCGGTTAATTTCTTCCATCTTCCTGTGATGCTTCCTGCATTGTTCAATATCTTACCCATAAAACCCATTACATTGCAACTCAAGGCTTGAATTTTTTCTTCAGTTCTTTCAGCTTGAGGAAAGCAGAGTGTGTTCTTCTAACTCTAAATGTTTGAACATTTCATTGTAATACTTCACTTTGTCTTCTCCAATTACCTTTTTAAATCTATTCAGCTCTCTTACATGATCATTTCTTCCATATACTTGAGCTATTCTATGTTCAAGAGAAAGTTTCTGAGTCTCTTGTCTCTTCTGACACTCATTTTAGTCTTTTTTTTTTTTCTTTCTTGTCTTTGTAATAAACTTTTGCTTTCTTCATGTATGATATTTTTGATGTCATCCCACAATTCATTTAGTCTTTAGTCATTAGTGTTCAAATGCATCATTTTATTCTTGAGATTTGTGTGGGATCTACTGAAGGCTCTGCTTTGACATGTGTGGAGTTTTAATTTTCTTCAGCTTCAACTTGAACATGCACATGAGCAATTGGTGGTTTCTTTTGTAAGCAGCCCCTGGCCTTTGTCTGATGGATGATATTGAGCTTCTTCTCTATCTTCTCTTTTCACACATGTAGTTATTTGATCCCTGAGTATTTCAGCTGGTGAAATCCATGTGGATAGTTATCTTTCATGTTGTTGAAAAAATCGTTTACACAATGAATAAGTCATTGGTCTTGCAAAATTCTATCTTGTGATCTATCAGTGTATCATCAAGGTCATATTTTCCTTTGTTTCCAACCCTCACATTCTAATCAACAGTAATTACCAACATACCTTGATTGCATATTTGATCGATTTCAGACTGTAGAATTTGGTAAAACTTTTCAATTTCTTCATCTTTAGCACTAGTAGTTCATTTAAAAATTTGAATAATAGTATTAACTGGTCTTCATTGTAGGCATGCATATTATCCTATCACTAATAGCACTCTACTTAAGGATAAACAAACAACTCACTGCCCTCGAGTTGGTTCCTACTCATAGTGTCCCTTCCCTGGGTTTCAGAGGTGGTATCTTTACAGAAGTAGATTACCCAGTCTTCCTTCCAAGGAGTGGCTTGTGGATTTAAACCACCAGCCTCCTGGTTAGCAGTGATGCCACCAGAGCTCCCACACTTAAGAATAGATCTGGAATTTTTTTTGACAATCAATGTGACCCCAAAACCAAAACCAAACTCACTGCCATCGAGTCAGATCCGATTCATAGCAATCTCTCCTTGGGTTTCCAAGGGAATATCACTATGGTAGTTGAATGCCCAACCTTCCTTCCGAGGAGTGGCTAGTGGGTTTGAACCACCACTCTTCTGGTTAACAGTCAAATGCCTTAGGCACTATGCCATCAGAGCTCCAATTTCTCTTCAATTTGTTATTCATGGTGTGGTAGTTAAGGTTATTTGTCAACTTGGCTGGGCTTGGTTTTGCGTGGCTGGGCAGTTGAATGTAGTTAGTCTCCATGATGAGACCAGTAATCAACTCCATGGCAGAATCTACTGGAGTAGCTGAGTACCTGCCTTAGGGATGTGGTCTGCTTCCCATATGTAAGAAAATGCTTTGAAAAAGGTCTCAAGCTTTTTAGCATGCTTGGACCATGCATGTAACCAAATCTTCATCTCTATGGCCTGCCATATTGTCTGCCAATCTCGGAACTGTTAATGGACTTGAATTAGTGGCCTGCCATGTTGTTGTTGTTGTTGTTCTGTGCCGTCGAGTCAGACCCGACTCATAGCGCCCCTCCTTGGGTTTCTGAGGCAGTATCACTATGGAAGTAGATTGCCCAACCTTCCTTCCATTAGTTGATAATTTTGGGACTGTGCCATTCTACTTGTTGACCTTCGGTTTGTCAGCCTCAGCAGCCAGGGATGCTTGAGTTAAGAGATGCCTCTAGCTCCAGTGGGCCTGGAGCAAGAGGCAGAGCTTAAGCATGAGGTCAAGGGGCCTTCACCCAGCCCCTAGAGCTGTCAGTTTGAACTTGGACTTCTAGCCTCCTGAACTGTAAGAGAATAAGCCCCTGTTTGTTAAAGCCACCTATTTGTGGTATTTTCTTTTAGAGCAGCACTAGAGGATCAAAACAGTCAGCATAGTAGACCATATGACTGTCCAGTTCAAAACTGCCCATCCATATCAACTCACTAACGTTTAGGATATTGTTCTTTATGAGTTCTATTTCATTTTTGACAACTTTAATTTTCCTGGATTCATACTTTGTACATTCCACATTCCAATTAGTAATGATGTTTGCTGGTGTTTTGTCTAATTTTGAGTCGTTCCCCATCAGTAAATGAAGGTCCTATAGGCTTTACTCCATCCACATGATTAAGGTTGACTCTTCTTTGAGGAGGCAGCTCTCCCACAGCTGTATTTAGAGTAACTTCCAAGATGAGGGGCTTATCTTCCAGCACTATATCAGAAAGTATTTTGCTGATTCATAAGGTTTTCACTGGCCACTGTTTTTGTTTTTTTTTTTTCCCCAGCAGATTGCCAGGTCCTTTGTTGTTGTTGTTGTTATGTGCCGTCGAGTCAAACCCGACTCATAGCGACCCCTCCTTGGGTTTCCGAGGCAGTATCACTACGGAAGTAGGATTGCCCAACCTTCCTTCCGAGGAGTGGCTGGTGGGTTTGAACTGCCAGCCGCCTGGTTAGCAGGCAAGTGTCTTAGCCACTACGCTACCAGAGCTCCCACCAGGTCCTTTAGTCTATCCAATAAATACTCATCTGTTTTCATTATTTCCAAATTATGCTTATGAAATGTAACTCCCAACTATGTCACTTCTTTGCTTAAATTTCTAGTGTTCCAATTCCCTTTCTTAATATCATCTTCAATGTGTCTTCAAACTACCTTCTGAACTCTATTTCCCCATTACCTTACCAATAGCCTAAAACCAAAAAAACCAAACTCATTGCTGTCGAGTCTGATCCGACTCATAGAGACCCCTCCTTGGGTTTCTAAGGTGGTAACTTTACGGAAGTAGATTGCCCAATTTTCCTTCTGAGGAGTTGCTGGTGGGTTTGAACCACCAGCCTTCGGGTTAGCAGTCAAATGCTTTAGGCACTATACCACCAGAGCTCGTAGGACCCATCAAACTGGCACTCTCACTCTTGACCAAATCTCTCCTTATCTTCTGTAAAATAACTATAGTATTAGCAACAAAATCTGTCTAACTATAGGTGAGACAATGATCACTATCAGCCCAATGCTGATTCCTATGAAGTAGAGGTCAGACATACCTCCATCTTCCAACCTTGTTACCAATTCTGACATCAGCCATCCCTCCCACAGCACTTTCTAGTTTTCTTCTGGGTTTGATAATCTGTTGCAATGGCCACAAAAACTCAGACTATATTTTCACTTAAGGGGTTTATTAAGGAAGTAACAGGGTACTTCTCAGGATCAGGATCAACAAGCTATAGCTCAGGGGCCGATCAGGAAACATAAGTCTCCTTTCTTCAAGGTAGGGCAGTAATTCAGCTCCTCTTGGCTGTGCAGCAGTCCTCCTTTTAGACCCGTCAAGACAGGCCTCCTCTTGGCCCTCTGAGGACTTCTCCTCTTGGCCCTGCCATCTCTCACTATTGGTTCTGATGTTGTGTCCTTTCTAGCCTATTGCTGTCTTCAGTGTTATGGCACTTGCTCATGTTACAGCTCTTTTAGGAGATTCTTTGCCTCTTTTATTTCTGGTGCTTCTTTCTTGCCTTTTCTCCTTTCTGTTTCTTCTTGGTTCCTGTCTTCCTACTTCTTTCTGTCTGGAAAACTATAGGACTGCCTACATAAATACACACATTCCTCATCACTGACAAGGTATTGCTCTCCCACCAGTGCCACAAACAGACTAATCCCCTCTCAGTATGCCACAGACATGTCATTTGCTTAGTCTATTGATCAAGCCCTGCAAGATGTATAGCAATCACAGGATTGCCTACAACCCAGGACCAGACAGAAATGATCAAACCACAAGTTGTTTAAAACTTAACCAGAAAAAGTCAATAAACCTGGACAAAAGCAACAAACTCTCTGGGATAGAAAACTAGGCAATGGTAACTCTTCAGGGCTTAGGGAAAAATCTCTCAAGATTTTTTTGCAAATAACCTTGGCAAAAGGCCACTTCAAAGAACTTATTTTACCACACCTTCCCTTTTCCCATCTTTATTCACACTATTTCTTTATCACAGTTTTTCCTATAGGGTCATTATGAGTTTGAATTGACTTGATGGCAGTGGATTTGGTTTGGATAATTTTTCTGACTTCTCCATGATTTCAGTTTGATGAAATTCTATCCAACCCATTAGTTCCACCTTGAATGTTAACAATTTCTAGGAAATCATCTTAATCTCTAAACCAAATGTGGCCTTCTCCTGCTCTGAATCATCACAATGATCTCTTTTTAATTCTTTTACACTTATTTTTTTACCTTATAATTTTATTATGTACCTGATCTGGGCATCAGTAGGCTTTAAATATATTAAGACACTCATTTATTGATCTTATTCGGAACGCTTGCAGATACAGTGAGTGGTCATGTGGGCAATACTTGTGAATACTATGTGAATTCACATATGAGCTTCAGTTTCCTAAACTGTAAAATGAGTATAATAACATCTTTCTGAAGAATTATGGTCAAGGTTAAATGAGACAAAAAAATAAATTATCTATGGTGGTTATGTAGCTGAGATCTATAAGTTTTGAATTACTTTCTCAAATATGGTGTATTGCACATTTGAAATATACCAAAATATCTGGTAACAAAGGCAGAGATTTTATTTGAAATAGTATGATGTCTTTTGACCGCATTTAAATCATTTAGGTCAGAAAGAGAAGAATGAGCATTTAGATTTTTTTCTACCTTGAATTAATCCCAATAATCCGTAGATATTAAGTTTATTGCTTCTTAATTGCTTCCACTCCTTAAATTCATCCATGTGCTTTGCTTCTCTTGTCCAGGCACTTAGCCATAGTGTCTGTCCAATGCCCACCAAATTCTGCCCTAGGTAAGTGACCATAGCCAGCCACACCCATGGCCAGCCAAAGGCTTGGAGGTACTTCATGATTACTGAGATCTTCACCTGAAGGCAAAATTGATATGAAATGAGGTTACCAAAAAACAGTGGGAAACCAATTTTTAATATTTCATTATTGCTAGTTTCTGAATTAACTTCAAGTAAATAAACAGCATGATACAGGACTTCAAAGCTATACTTTAAAGTCAGATAAACTAAGCTCAAGTCCTACTCTGACATTTTCTAAATATTATGATCTTGGTCATGTAACTAACTCTTTTAAGCTTCAGATCACTTATCTGTAAACTGGAAAAATAATAGCAGCCACTTCAAGGCAATTGTCATTGAGTCTATTTTGACTAATGGCAACCCACGTATTGCAGAGAAGAATTGCACTCTGAGGAGTTTTCAAGGCTTTCTGACCTTTCAGAAGCAGATCTTCAGGTCTTTCTACCGAGACAAGGGTGGGTATGAACCTCCAACCTTTCAGCCAGCAGTCAAATGCTTAACTATTTGAGACACTCTGGTACTATTAGCTACCTCATACATACATGTCAAATGATCAGTACAGTCCTAAGCATCTGGTAGCATAGTGCCTAAGGCACTTGACTGCTAACCAGAAGGCTGGTGGTTCAAACCCACCAGCCACTCCTCAGAAGGAAGGTTGGGCAATCTACTTCCATAGTGATACACCCTCAGAAACCCAAGGAGGGGTCACTATGGGTCGGGTCTGACTCAACGGCAAATAACAACAACAACAACAATAAATGTTAGTTATAGTCCTCAGTACACAAGAACATGAGTAGCTCAATAACATGCAATCCTAACTGAACATCACTATCCTATTGTTGTTACGTGTGGTCCGAGTTGGTTCTGAATCATAGCACCCTATATAAAACAGAACAAAACCCTACCCACCCAATCATCAGTCATTGCCCACCCAATCCCATCAATCATCAATCATCTTTAAACCCATTGTTGCTGCCTGTGTCAATCCATCTCATTGAGGGTCTCCCTCCTTTTAACTGACCCTCTACTTTATCAACCATGATGTCCTCCTTCAGGGACTGATCTGTCCTGATAACATGTCCAAAGTACATGAGATGAAGTATTACCATCCTCACTTCAATGCAGCATTCTGACTGTACTTCTTCCAAGACAGACTGTTCATTCTTCTGGCAGTCGACAGTACATTCAATATTATTTTCCAACACCATACTTCAAAGGTATCAATTCTTTTTTGGTCTTCCTTATTCATTGTCCAGCTTTCACAGGCATATAAGGCTATTTAAAATACTCTGGTTTGGGTCAGGTTCATTTTAGTCCTCAAAGTGACATCTTTTCCTTTTTTTTTTTAACACTTAAGGAGGTGTTTTGCAGTAGATTTGCCCAATTCAATACTTTGTTTGATTTGACTGCTGCAAGGGGCATTGATTGAGGATCCAAATAAAATGAAATCCTTTACAACTTATTTTTTTTGTTTTTACGTTGATGTAATCCATACTGATGAATCTTTGATCTTCATCAGTAAGTGCTTCAAGTCCTATTCACTTTCAGCAAGCAAGGCTGTGTCATCTGCATATTGCAGACTGTTGAGTTTTCCTCCAATCCTGATGCTACCCTTGTTCATATAATCCAGCTTCTCAGATTATTTGTTCAGTGCACCGACTGAATAAGTATAGTGAAAGGATAAAACTCTAACACACACTTTTCTGATTTTCATCCCGTTGTTCTGTTTGAACAACTACCTCTTTGTCTATGTACAGGTTCTATATGAGCATTGGATCACCTTTCTTTGGAATGGGCATGGATATGAATCTCTTCCAGTCATTTGGCTATGTAGCTGTCTTCCAAATTTCTTGGCATAGACAAGTGAGTGCTTCCAGCAAACACCACTATAATATGCAACAATTCCATTTAATATAATTTCTTAAATATTTCATACTTCATTGTTTGATAACACATTAATGTTATATTAATTCTTCTGGTGCTTACCCCACCAACAGGGATCTTTTCTTTTCTCATTGAGAACTGTTTTCCTTGATCCAAAGAGTATCTGAAAAAGCAACAGAATGTTTATTTTTTTAGGTTTTAGATAAACCAACATAAAAAATAATTATAATTCTCAACCACTTTGTTGCATTCTACTCTGCCTTTTTACCTTAACAGCAACCTGTTTTTCCCCTAGTTAAAGTTTGTTGTCTGTAGACAACCTTGTTCCTTTATTATTCTCAAAGAAAGACTGTTTCTTCTTCTTCTTCCTCTCAAATATTGCACAGCTAAGCATGGGGTCTGATTTTTCACTGCTACTTCTAGATAATTACCTTTCAAATTTGGGAAAAATCCCTGGATGCTTTAAGACTAATGTCATCTGGCTGTATCTGGCCGTGTGATACTGTAGTCTCAGAAAACTTTAGCATGGCTCTGTCTTCCCACATTCTTCTGTCATCATCCTGAGTGATGTCATAGTTTCCACAGAGAGCTTTATAAAAGTATGTTGTTGTTGTTGTTATGTGCCGTTGAGTAGGACCCGACTCATAGCAATCCCTCCTTGGGTTTCTGAGGCAGTATCACTACAGAAGTAGATTGTCTAACCTTCCTTCCGAGGAGTGGCTGGTTGATTTGAACCACCAGCCTTCTGGTTAGCAGTCAGGTACCTTAGGCACTACGCTACCAGAGATCCCTATAAAGTATATATCTTTCTAATTTAATGACCTTCATATGTCCAGGGCCCTTTATTTATACTCTCCTTTGGCTATCAACTTCCATGACTCTGTACCATGAGTCCTGTTGTTGTTAGCTGACTTTGAGTCTATTTTTGACTCATAGTGACCCCATGTGACAGAGTAGAACTGCCCCATACAGTTTCCTTGGCCTGTAATCTTCATGGAAGGTCTTTTTCTGGTGGAGCTGCTGGGTGAATTCAAACTGCCACCCTTTGGGTTAGGAGCCAAGTACTTATCCATTGTGCCACCAGGGCTCTTATTAATCCTATTACCAATTACTAACCCACTTCTGAACACCAACTTTAAATATTTCAGCCACTGACTACTTCCAAGTTGTATGTTCAGTTACTCCCACTACATTTGGTTCTTATTTCATCTAGACACCTGGTTCCTGAATCCAACTTTCTATTTGTCATCATTATCTTCTAGGGTTATCAAGTATCCAAGTTTATCTGGAATTTTCTTGGATTTCACATTGACAATCTAGGAAATCTCTCAGTCCCAGAATAACCCACACTCTCTCTATTATTTTCCTTAACCAATCTATACACCATGATTATTATTTTACCCATGTTCGGGTAATATTCTGAACCTCCAAGCCCTGCTTTCTTTCCATCATGGCTTTCTGTTAGAATTCATAGAAGAGCCTTCCTCATACTTACATCCTACCTGGGCCATGCTGCTTCAAAAAATCATGTTGTTGTTAGTTCCTGTGGAGTCTGTTCTGACCAAGGCGACCCCATGTGCAGAGTAGAACTGCACTGTAAGGTTTTTTAGGCTGTAACCTTTTGAAGCATATTGCCAAACCTGTCTTCCGAGGTGGCTCTGGATGTGTTTGTACCACCGATCTTTTCACTAGTAGTTGAGATCTTGACCATTAGTGCCACCCATTTAGCCCTACAAATTATTTCCACTGTACATTAATGATATCCTCTTTCTACCTGGGCTCTTGACATCACTCTCAGAGAGTAGACCCCCATCCTACTATCAGGACAAAGTAGAAGACAGAAGAGTTAGTCACTAAAATTCTACATTTATCTGACTCTACACCCAGGCTTTTCCAATTCTCTCCTGTAATAAACAAAATAATTCTCTCCTTAGAGCTAATTAATGTAACTGTCACACTTTCTCAAAATATGTTTATTAGATATAATATTATTATATAGAATCTGTCTTGGAAGAAGTACAGCCATAATCCTCCTTAGACGTGACAATGGTCACACTTCATCTCATGTACTTTGGCCATGTTGTCAGAGAAGGAGATCTTGCTTCATAAAGTAGAGGGATCAATAAAAAAGGGGAAGACTCTTTAACAAGATAAGATTGACACAGTGGCTGCAACAATGGGCTTAAGCATTGCAATGATTATAAGGATGGTGCAGGATCTGGCAGTGTTTCATTCTGTTGTAAATAGCATCAATATGAGTCAGAGCTGAATCGGTGGCACCTAACAACATCATTTCTGTATGTTCTTGTTAATAAGAATCACATGATAGTGATTGTTAAAAATACAGATTTTAAGATTTTTCCTCTCTGTCTTTATAATAGATGATTCAAAGGATTTTTATCTTAGGGCAACAATGGATTGTACCTTCTCTGTTAAAATCTTCCTTTCTTCTTTTCTATTGACTCCTTCCCATTAGCCTATAGAAAATAACACACCTTTTTATTTTAAAACCAACCCCACCATCACAAAAACAATCCTACTCTCAATTCTATGTCCCCCTTAAGTTACCATCCTACTTCTTTCCTTCCTTACATAATCCAACATTTTTATTACAAACCACTGCTTCCTCCTCAAATTTGTTATTACCTGACTGAAATTGTTTTAATCAAGGGCACCAGTAAATTATTTATTGATTTATCCATTGAATACATTTGAAAATTATTTCATTTAAACTTTCTACAACATTTGACATCATTGACCACTCTCTAGTTTAAGGCTCTTTGATTTATTTCCCTAACACTGTTGCTGTTGTTGTTAGCTGCTCTTCCTAACACTACACTTTCATATTTTCCTCCTGTCTCTCTGGCTGGCCTTTAATTTTTCTTTAGGCTCCTTTCTCTGTCTCCCTTTGAATGTTTGTGTTCTATGGGGCTTGATTCTAGCTAATGATTGTTATCTTTTTATGTTTCACATTCTTTCTGGGCAATCTCATTCACTCTCCTAGTTTCAATAGCCCTCCTATTTGCTGATAATACTCAAATTGATATCCCTAGTCTAAATATAGGAGCTCTGGTAGCATAGTGCCTAAGGCACTTGACTGCTAACCAGAAGGCTGGCGGTTCAAATCCACCAGCCACTCCTCGGAAGGAAGATTGGGCAATCTACTTCTGTAGTGATACTGCCTTGGAAACCTGAGGAGGGGTCGCTATGAGTCGGGTCCAACTCGATGGCACATAACAACAAACAGTTTAAATATCCTCTCTGAGCTTTAGATCCATATAGTCAACTACCTACTTGCTATATTTTTTTCTCTTTGCTTGTTTGGCTCATAGATACCTAAACTGAACTAGTTATTTTCTTCATACCTCTAAAGGTTTCTCTAAGGAGCTCTGGTGGCATAGTGGTTATAGCATTTGCTTGCTAACCAAAAGGATGGCAGTTGGAACCTCCTAGCTACCCCATGGGAGAATGATGAAGCAGTATGCTTTCATAAAGATTTACCGCCTTAGAAACCTTATCGGACAATTCTACTCTATTCTATAGGGTTGCTATGAATCAGAACTGATTCATTTGGTTCTTGGTATCTGTAATATTTGTATATATTTTATTTTAGTAATGGATATTCTAAATAAAAAAGAAATGGGAACAAAATTTAATCTAGTATTACTTCATAAATATCATAATTAGTCTGTGTGTGTGCATGTGTTTGTGTGTGCATGTACCCCTCTTATCCATCTATATATTTATATACCAAAAAAATTAACTAATGGCTGTCAAGTTGATTCATCATATATAGTCTCTATGAGTCAGAATCAACTCACTGGCAGTGGGTTTGGGTTTGGTGTGAAGATTTCTCTGGCTTTGTAAAGGGACATAAAAATTTCTATCTCAGTAAGAACATTTTCAATCAATCATCATTTAATCATCAATTCTACCTTCTAAATATCTCTGGAACTACAGTATTGGAGAAATATTTGGAAAATATCAAACAGCATGATGAGGAATAAGAGGATAAAGGTAGCAGAGGAAGGAAGGTTGAAAAAAAGGGAGAAAGAGGGAAAAAGAGGTTCATAATCCTATATTCCAGACACAATCCATGCTAACATGCTTGTTAATATTACTGTAGTCGTTTCTCTCTATGTGTGTGTGTTATATGATAATACAAATGTTGCTCTATAACCAATATTTAATTTTAAGAAATTGCATATATGGACTTTATCACTTATTATATGTTGTTGTTATGTGCTATCAAGTGAATTCCAACCCATAGAGACCCTATATGACAGTAGAACTGCCCCATAGCATTTCCTAGGCTGAAATCTTTATGGGGGTGATTTTGAGGTCTTTTCTCCCCTGGAGCCACTGGTGATTTGAACCTCTGGCCTTTTGGTTAGAAGCCAAGTGCTTAACTACTGCACCACCAGAGCTCCTTAATTCTATTTACTTTCATGAACATGAAATACTCAAATATTATTCTGTAACAACATTATATATTGTCATGGGACAACATAACATTTAATCTTTTTTTATAATTTAATAGTATAATTTTTTTCCTGTTTTACTTATTGTTTGTTGATCATTCTTTTTACACACCTCTCATTGTCCCTTGTAAAAATTTTCCCATATACAGACATAGAGAGGATCCTAAATTCTAAGTTTTTTGATGTATCTATTATTAAAATGACTTCTAACATTAATGAACAGGTGTATGCTCTCTTCAGAAGCCCCTAAGAATACTCTGTTTCTCCATGTTTCCAATTTTATTTATCAGAAAAAGAAATGTGCTATTTGATCAGTCTAGTTCTTATTTTCCAATCCCTGGCACTAGCGTCAGAGAACATTCCTTGGGAGGTTATGCTACATGCCCTTTGTAGGATCAACTTTACAATCAGGGAAAGATACACTATTTAACAGACACTTTCATTGGAATAGATCCTGCTGTATGATTTGGGTTAATTACTGTCATCATCCTTTAAGCCCTTGGCATGGCTTCTATTTGGATAAGCAAATTTAGCATTGGTGTCAAGCCAAAAAATTAATTTTTAATGTAGCTGGTCATAAAGTGCTACTATGTGTAATGGTTAAAAGGGAATTAAAATTTCGTAATTACATATAACTATAAAAGCCAATAATTTATTGACACTACACATAAATGTATGGTTTTCTAAACTAAAATGTTATTTATCCTTTTGCCATAAAAATACTGCATGTGGTCCTGGGCATGTTTCTTTTTTAAAATGAAAAGAAAGTTTTAATTGAATCCCTGAAAAGAGAAAATTATTTCATGTAGGAGGGAGGTATTTTTTAAAAAATTAGACTCTCTGTCCTCTAGAAATTCACAAGAAAACTGGTAAAATATCTATCTGCATATTTTTGTATAAAAGGCATAAAAGTAATATTAATATATTGAAAGCATTATCCCTGAACTGAGCACATAGTTTCAAATATTTAGGCATAGAGTATGTATTTCTTATTGTTATGTGCCATCCTGTCGATTCTGATTCCCAACAACCCTATAGGACAGTGTAGAACTGCCCCATAGGGTTTCCAAGGCTGTAATCTTTACAGAAGCAGAATGTCAAGTCTCTTCTGTGGAGAGCTGGGTTGAAACCATGACCTCTGGATTAGCAGCCCAGAGATAACCATTGCTCTTGAGGGCTCCTCTAAAGTATGCATGGGAAGATTAAAATCATTAAGACTGTGACATGAGTCTCAGAAGAAGGCAGTCTCAATACTAAAACAACATCCTCCGTCTATCTTATCCAGGGAAGACAATAGATATTTAAAGAAATTAAATAAATAAATAAATAAATAAATAAATAAATAAAATGTCCTGCATAAAACATAAATTTGGACAAAAATGTAAAATAAAATGTGGAAATAGTTCAAAATAATCTTAGTCCTTATAAGAAACCTGAACTAGTGTCATAAAAATTATTATGAGTGGGAGACACTGTCAGCCATTATTTGGTCCAATCTCCTTCCTTGATTGTCAGTTAGCTGGTTTTACCCTGAACCTTTCATGGGAAGAATTTATTGTATTCTATTTCAAAGGATCCCATTGTAGAAAGGCTTTAACTGTTGAAGCATTTCAGCCTACTTGTATCTTTTGATCCTTAATCTATCTTAATTCTGCATAATTATTTGTTGTTAGTTGCCACTGAGTCAATTCTGACTCATGGTGCACAGTAGACTCTGTGTGCAGAGTCAAACTGCTCCATAGGGTTTTTAAGGCTGGAAGTTTTCAGAAGCAGACCACCAGGTCTGGCTTCTGAAGCATTTCTTTGTGGCTTCAAACCATCAATCTTTCGACGAGGATAGAGCACTTAACCATTTGTGCTATCCAGGGACTCCATACAGAAACAATTGGATAAATCTAAGAAAGAGACAATTAGGCTGAAAAACCAGGAAAAATGTCTTCACTTAATACTACCATACCAAATAATAAGTAGATAAATAATGAAAGCTATAATAAAATGTATCATAAAATCTAGTAAACTAGAGTAGTCAAATATGCATGTATTTTGGGGAAATAAATAAGGTTTCTCAAGCATTAATAAATATTTAATATCTATGATTAGAAAATAAATGGGGAAGGAGGTAGTTCATGGAACTCCAATAAGGTTAGAATCAATCAGTTTTTTTTATCACAATGGTTAAAAAGTTAGCTTAATGTTGTGTAGTGTTGACAAGAATATTACATATCCCAATGTACTCTTCATTAAAGAAGTAAATTCCAGGATGTAGGTTCTAGTTTAAGCTTTTACAGTCTGAAAAATATTTAGAAATCAATTCTATAAACAATTTTTTTAAGAGATTGGTATTCTTTTGCCAAAGAAGTAAAGAAGAGAGAGGATCAATTTAGATATTATGACTAACAATGTTGTTTTAAATAAGGAAAATTAATCTATTGTAGAGAGAAGGTTATGATTAAGCTTGAGAATATTTCTTAGTTTTTATGTTTTATACTTTCAAGCAAGCTACTTATTGAGTCTTTGGTAAGACCATTGTTGTTGTTGTTGTTATGTGCCGTCGAGTCAAACCCGACTCATAGCGACCCCTCCTTGGGTTTTCAAGGCAGTATCACTACGGAAGTAGGATTGTCCAACCTCCATAGACAGATGAAATCCCTATGATTTAAAAATGTGCAGACCCCTGAACAGAGATAGTGGATGACAGATGTGGTTAACACACTCACCTGCTAACCCAAAATCTGGAGGTTCAAATATACTCAGAGTTGCCTCAGAAGAAAAGCCTGGCAATCTACTTCTAAAAAATTACTCATCAAAAACCCTATGGAGCACAATTCTTCTCTGACAAATATGTAGTAGCCATGATTCAGAATTAACTCAATGGCAACTGGGAAACCATAGTGCACATGACTGTCAAAGTCTATTTAATGGCTTTGTATTTGCATTTCTTGAAGTTCTTATAAATATGGAACTCATTTAAATGGAACTTATTAATGTATGATGGCCAAATAATAAACTAAGGAATGGATTAAAAGACCACTGAAGTTATTCCCATCTCTAGTTATATAGGCAACCATTTAAAAAGCATTTATTTAACACATGAAGATGTGCATCAGGGTTATATAATTTCACCATATGTATTCAATCTGTGGGAGCTCTGGTAGCATAGTGCCTAAGGCACTTGACTGCTAACCAGAAGGCTGGCGGTTCAAACCCACCACCCACTCCTCAGAAGGAAGATGGGGCAATCTACTTCTGTAATGATACTGCCTCGGAAACCAAAGGAGGGGGTCACTATGAGTCAGGTCCGACTCGACAGCACATAACAACAACAACAAAAAATTCAATCTGTATGCTGAGCAAATAATCTGAGAAGATGGCCAGTATGCAAAAGAATGTGACATCAGGATTGGATGAAGACTCAATAACAACCTGCAATATGCACATGACACAAACTTGCTTGCTGAAAATGAAGATTTCTTGATGCATTTACTGATGAAGATCAAAGACTACAGCCTGCAGAACTATTTCAACATTTTATTTTACACCTCAACATAATGAAAACAGAAATTCTCAAAAAAGACAAATTAACAAAATCATGAATAATGAAGAAAAGACTGAAGTTGTCAATGATATCCTTTTGCTTGTATTCACAATCAACACAATCAACACTGGAAGCAGTAGTCAAGAAATTAAATGATGTATTACACTGGGAAAATCTGCTGCAGAAGACCTCATAGCAATGATTGAGAAGATGGCACAGGACTGGGCAGTGTTTTGTTCTGTTGGACACAGGGTCACTATGAATTGGGACAGACTTGAGGGCACAAAACCACAATGACTTAGGTTCCAGTGAGTGTTCTAGCTGATAGTGATACAGTAATGAACAGACAAAAACTCCAGCCCTAATAAAGCTTACAACCTAGAGATGAGAGAAGCACAAAATAAGTAAATAAAATGAAATGAAATAAGAACATTTTCCAGTATGCTGTAAATTACTAAGACTTATGGAGAAAAATAAAGGAAGAAACATCATAGAAAGTGTTGCAATATGAAATATGATGAGGTGACATGTGAGCAAATACCTACAGAAGGGGACATGCCCATATCTAAAAGAAGTATGTACTAAGCAGAGAGAATAGAAAATGCAAAGGACCTGAGGAAAGAGCATGTCTGACTGTTGCAGGGACAGCAAGGGGTCATTGTTTCTGGATCAGAGTACTCAAGGGAATAAAATTAGGAGACCGCAGAGTTAAATGTCTAGGTCCTCGATGGCTTTGCAGGTCATTGTAAGTACGTGGGAGTTTACTCTGAGATGTGACTTCTTTGGAGGTTATGAGAAAAAAAGTGACATGATCTGACTACAATGGTAAAGGAATCACTCTGGATGCTGTGAAGTGTATAAACTGAGGGCAAGGATAACAGCAGGAAGAACTGTATGAAGGCAATAACAATAACCCAGGTGAGAAATGATAGCAATTTGGACAAAAGTGGCAACTGTGAAGCCCATGAGATGATAAGTGATGGTTGAATTTTGGATTTCTGGATGTATTCTGAAAGTAGAGCCAATGGTATTTGATGATAGATTGGACGTGGAGTAAGAGAGTGTTCAAGGATGACTAACATACTTTTCCCTGACCAACTAACAGGAAGATTGTGGGGAATGGAGGAGAGGTATACGTGTGGTTTGGGAAAATCAGGAGTTAGGTTTTGGACACAAAAGTTCTAAATGTCATTTAGACATTAAAGAGATGCTGAGAGAGTAACTTTGTTGTCTAAATTTGGAGTTCAGAGGAAAGGTCTGGGCCAGAGATAAAAACTTGATAGGAATTAATATATAGATGTTATTTTAAGCCATGAGACTGGATGATAAAACTAAGTACAGATAGAGAAAAGAAGCAGATCAAAATCTTTATGATTAACAGAAACAATTTAGCTGACCCGCTGAATCAGCCAACTCTGGTCTCTACACAAAGCTCCAAACTACACATCCTTTGGAATCCAATCCTTTTTTAAAAAATAAATTCATGATTCTTTTTTTTTTTTTTTAATTTCAAGGATCAAGCTACACAATTCTAGACTATTCAACCCTGAAGTACTTGCTTCCCTGTAAAATCCCAATTCTTCATTTTGGCAATTTTGATCAGTGGCTGCTCTGTATAGCTCTATGGCTTATTTTTTTAATCCTCTCATTTCT